CTACTCGCGCTTTTATATGACAAAAAAACTATTCGTTTACAAATGTGGTATCTGTGATCTCATCGGAATGCATCAGTCTAGGTATCATAAGTACGCGCATGTGCAGATCGCTTGGTGCTTCGAGTAGTATGCTTTCGAAACTAAATCAATGGCCTTTTTAGCGTTAGGCAGTGTTGTGTGGGCAAAGATTTCAAATTAGAACAAGAAGAAACATTTTTTATCAATAAAAAAAGGCGAGTTTAATGATTTTATAGGTATCATTTACTTTGTAAAGTATTTTCTTGGCCTGAGAGGTCAACGTTATCACTTAGCGTCACTTGTCTACATAGCACGTTTGATTTTATCAGTGAAAGCAAGGACTCTTTTAAAACGTTCATTGCTATATTAATTACATGACCTTTTAGGTCAAGTTTATTTTAGTCTCAAGAGAGTTTGGATATTTTGAACTAGACGCTCTTATTAGGCCGTGAGTTCGGCTATTTTGGAGAAAAATTAAGAAATATATATTTTAATCTAATTTTTATATTTTATGTAATATCCTCGTGTTTTTCTCAAGTTTCATTTACATTCATAATATAATCATATGATTAGACAGAATATAACATCATAATCTTTTCACTCGTGTCTATCAATTTTCAAAAATAGCTAGTCCGACTTCACTCCCCAGGGGCGTCTAGTTTTAGCATGTTTCAAGTCGCGTAACAGTATTGTATTACATTATTTTGGACGTCAATAACTCAACGAATAAACAGCAAAAAAAAAATAATAATAAAAATTCAAACATTCCGAGAGAACTTCCATCATGATCTTATTTTTGTGACGAAGGCCTTCTGGGAAGGCTTCGTCACTATGTCATCGGGTCTGAGTGAGTTGTAACCATTCCAATTGAAGCAGGCGTTCCTAGCGGTTATTTAAACACGTGATCGTTGTCCTGACCAATGCGTTCTCTAGCGACGTGTTTGTGCTTTCGAAGGTGAGTTTGTTGTTATTTTATCACAATACAATGTATTCAAACTATTTTGTGTCTAGAACTAGACACAAATTTCTATCCATTTGCAGTCAAATTTGTATTTCTAAATACTTATTTCAGATTAATTTGGGGCGCTTTATATGGTTTGTTTGCTAACAAAAGTCCGATTGCTTCGCTTGGCTTTAATATTACACAAGACCTCAGTGCAGGCGGCGTTCTTCAATTCCATTAGGGGAACAAATAAACCCACGGAAATGGCGTTCAAAATCTCCTTCGGCAGACTCAAACTTCCCTTCAGGGAACAAGTAGTCACAGCAAGTTATAGTCTAACTCGCTTAGTCGTTCATTAATATTTAACTGAGCTTTTGTATTGTTCAATGCTAGAGTACAAACATTAAAAGAGTCAAAAGAATTAGCATATTTTAGCAGTATTTAGTGGTATTTATGTTGCACAGTTCCCTTCCTTCCTTGTGCCATCCATCTGTTGACGGTAGAACGTTAGTAAACATTTATCTACATAATTGACATTGTTCATTAATATATTGTTTTATCTATTTTGTTCCTGTTAAACTATAGAATACATGCTAGTGTTATTTTTGAAATTCACTGATCATACATTGAAATACCAGCCATAATAGAGTGAACTCACTTGATTTGTGCAAATCAAAAAAGACAATAGATTTTTCACAAAAAAGCACGGCGCCTCGTCTTGATTCCTGTCAATAAATTCAGACTACGAAATTTGACAAGTTCAACTCCAGCAATTAGAGTAAACGCGGTGACAAAAGATCGACGTCTGAACATGGCCGTAGATAAACAGCGAATTTTAAAAATTTAAAAATTTAAAAATGTAACTAGACGCTCTTGGAGCGTGAAGTCGGGCTAGCTATTTTGGACATATGGAACTTATGGGGGACAAATAGTCCGTGATCACTCAAGCTTGACCTGACAGTCCGTATGAAGTGCCAAATTTGACGAAAAAAGGCCAGATTTCAAGGCTTTTTGAAGAAATGCGGCGACATTAAATACAATCCTAAAAACCTAGCACCGGATTTAAGAAATAAAATCTATATGCGACCTTTCTGGGTATTTTTCATGAGAAAATTCGAAAATCCAATCACGTATTTTTGCCCTTGAAGAGTTGAAGTTGAGCATTAAAATAGTATGGTGATCCATGTTTTCACCACAGTTCGCTCCAAAAAACTGGGCCTCGCGCATAACTTATTTTGTTAATAAAAAACCTAGCACCGGATTTAAGAAATAAAATGTATGTGTGACATTGCTACGGTGGCCGGTTAGGGCCATCGTGAATTTTTTAATTCAACTTTAATTTTTATTTTCATTGGCTGTTTGAATGCAATTTCATTTTTTTTTTGACATTTGTATATCATCTTTTGTGCTTTATAACACGAGAGATCTCGCCTTTTAACACGAGACTCGCCTTTTAACACGAGATCTCGCCTTATAACACGAGATCTCGCCTTATAACACGAGATCTCGCCTTATAACACGAGATCTCGCCTTTTAACACGAGATCTCGCCTTTTAACACGAGATCTCACTTTTTAACACGAGAACTCGCCTTTTAACACGAGATCTCGCCTTGTAACACGAGATCTCGCCTTTTAACACGAGATCTCGCCTTTTAACACGAGATCTCGCCTTTTAACACGAGATCTCACTTTTTAACACGAGAACTCGCCTTTTAACACGAGATCTCGCCTTGTAACACGAGATCTCGCCTTTTAACACGAAATCTCGCCTTATAACACGAGATCTCGCCTTTTAACACGAGATCTCGCCTTTTAACACGAGATCTCACTTTTTAACACGAGAACTCGCCTTTTAACACGAGAACTCGCCTTTTAACACGAGATCTCGCCTTGTAACACGAGATCTCGCCTTATAACACGAGATCTCGCCTTATAACACGAGATCTCGCCTTATAACACGTGATCTCGCTTTTTAACACGAGATCTCGCCTTGACTACCTGCCCTCCCCCCCTCTAGGATTATCTAGAAGCACGTGCATCGCTAACTGGCCAGCGGTCGTTTCCGTAAACAACAACCACATGCATCATGGCGTCTGGCAACAGTGGATTTGATAAGGTAAGGTAGATGAGAAAGAAGACCAAATAACTCTTCACACATTTCTTTCCGTTAAGATAAATGTACATTCTTATTGTCATGATCATTTTATTGTGTATTGTGGTTGCTGTTTATTGTTATTTGATGTATAGTATAAACTTAAACAAACTACATATCATGCCGTACCAGTTCGAGCAGTTACGTATTCTTTACGGGCTCCTTTGGTACGTACGTTCCGTAGCATATTGATAGAGCACAGTTGACGTAATTGAAAAGAATCCCAGAACTTAGAACAAAAAGATAGAACAAAGCAATTCAAAGAAAGAAGTACTTAAACAAAGAATCTAATATTTTCCGGTACCTGCAGAAGAACCCGCTTTTGCTAAACTGTTTCATTCTAAAGCTGTGTCTGCCTATTTCACAGTTTATTGTATTTTGTAATGCAAAACAATGTGGTATAAAGTCTGCCCATTTCACAAGGTCAAAATTTCCACAGCGAGGACCATTAATGTCCCAATGCCCCAGGGATTGTCAAATCGGATTGTCAAGTCAATCGAATGAATGGTCTTGACTGTAGTACACAATGTATTATCCATTATTATCATGTGATATTATTATTATGTTAAATATTGCTCTATAAAGAGAAATATTCCAAACATGTTTGAAGTTATCAGTTACAAAGTTATGTAAATTAATAAATAGTGCTCAGTACAGTACTTCCTCGGGACTGTATTTRGTATGCCTCCTTTGATTGTTCATATTTTTCTAAACATCCTATTATGAAAAAAAACTTGAAATGTTCATGTAACCATCATAACATCCTTGCCAATCATAGAGTGCATGTCATAAATGTGTGAAACAATAGCGTAACTATTTTTTRGGMRTATYGGTATTAAGTTGCATAGCTGCTAACTTCGTAGTTATTTTCTTCATATAAGAATTGATTCAGGCGTAAAAACAAAGACACAAAGAAATGTCTATCTTTGACTGCATTGAGGTGGATCAAAACATATTAATTAATATATTTCAGATGGATGTCTCAGCAGTGACATTTGCAACTACTGAGTGCCTTGAAGAATTGGGACTGAAGGCAAAGGGTGATTTGTTTGCCCTAAAGGCTTTTTGCCAGCGTCAAACTTCAAGTCAAACTTTTACTCCAAGTGCCAACACAACTGAAACTGACTATAACAGGAGAAAACGAGAGCTGTTGGAGCAGTTAAATGTACAAGGTGAAAAACAGAAGAAAAAAGTCAAAAGGGATAATAAGTTATCTTCTGGAAGTGCTACTAAGACTGCTCCCGAAAGACAAAAAACACGCAAGATAACTCTTGGGTGGCTTCACTACTGTCCAAAGAATCAGAAATTTATGGGAGTTAGACTGGCAAATGGTGGGGGACCAAGAAAACTTGATGTACCTTGTA